GAATTGAAGCTAACCTGCAACTAACAATGGATGGTGTACAGTTAAGAGTAACAATATAATCATAACATCTATGATTGGTCAAGGAAGCTTAGCACACACACAGAGGATGTGCAGGAGAAAATCTATTAAAGGAGTAAAGGAAATCACAATTCCTTTTGCACAGCTTTTACTTTCTCTTCTTTCCTCCTTTCCCTTCTAGGAGCTTCCCCAGGGTTTGGGAGCCAGGAGACTCTCTCAGTTATAAGCTACTAACCAGGCCCACCTGATGAGTTCTCTCGCTTTAGTGGGGAAAATGAGTGGAATTAGTCTTGAGGCTTTAGTCTGAAGGATACAAGGAAGATCAAAGAAGGCCTCAGAAGGGAGGTTGAAATGTTAACGTGACTGCTACAAGATACCCAGAGTAACAGATAAGGGGACCTAGGAATGCTGCCTAATGGGACCGGGACCAGCCTAGATGTGTGCTGGGCAACTTGAAGGAGGGAGGAGGGCGTCAGGTGGCAGGGTCTCTTTCCCACCAGAAAAGGACCAGAGGGTAGAATCGTAGGCCATTCTGGCAAGAATCCCTTTGAAAACGTGGTTAATGCCATGGACCGTTCCCCTAGAAAAATGCACGCAAGTCATTAAAAGTTAAAGTGAACATATCTAGAGGTTCAGGAAGCCAGCTGTGGTCTCAGGGTCAGTCTCTCTGCTTCCAGGGTGTAAAGGTGTTGGCCCCTGAAGCAGTAGGGTTGGGCTGGGAAATAGCTGGCACAAAGCAAGTGTTTAATTAAGAAACACCATGAACACCAATCAGCTCCAGCCAGAGGTAGCCACATGACTGAAGTCACATCACTCCACCTCTCTTGATCATCTTATCCATGGAACGGAAATATTAGTTTCTCAACATCTAAGACAACTTCCCTGACAATTCTGATGATGATAATCAGACTACCTGTATTGTTTGTTTCCCTTACATCGTGATCTAATTTATACTGAAGGCTGTGGTCTTGTAATTTTTTGAAGTTGCCAAGGATTTCCTTTTATTTGGATCCACTAACAATATCCATGAAAGCAGCAGTCAAGAAATGGTGCATGGGATATCTTTAAAGTGCTAAAAGAGCAAGACTGTCATTTTGAGAACTAAGGTGCTCCTGATCTAAGATATGATATTTCCAGTTGCTTCATAGTGACATGAAAGTTGGACAATGATTACGGAAGAATGAAGGAGAATTGATGTCTTTGAATTGTAACGTTGCCAAGAGAAGAAATAAGTCTGTCTTGTTAGAAGGGTGGCCAGAACGCTCCTTAGAAGCAAAAAATGATGAGACTTTATCTTCTATACTTCAGGCATGTTGTCAGCATGGGTCAGTCTCTGGAGAGGGACCTCATGCTTGGCAAAGTGGAGGGAAGATCAGTAAAAAAAGAGGAAGACTTAATGAGATAGATCAAAACAGTGGCAGCAATAATGTGCTTAAGCACAGCTAATTGTGCTTACAATGGTGCAGAATGTGACAGGGTTTCCTTCTGTATACAGGGTATTAGAGACTTACAGGGTCCCTGTGACTCAGAGTCAACTTGAAAGCACCTGAAAACAGTAAAGTTTATCCCAAGGAGCGCTGGTGGCACTGAACTAAGTGTTGGGGGGCTAATGGATATGCCAGTGATTCAAACCCACCAGCTGCTCCATGGGTGAAGGATGAAGCCGTCTCTTCCTGTAAAGATTTACAACATTGCAAACCTCTTAGAGCAGTTCTCTCCTGGCTTATAATGCAAAACTCAAGCTCACTGCCGTTGAATGGTTCTGACTCTTAGGGATCCTCCATTAGGTTTCTAAGGTTGTACATTTTAATGGTAGAAGACTGCTCATCTGTGTTTCTTTGAGCTCCTGGTGGATTTGAACTTGTAGTCTTTTGATTTAGCAGTGCTTCATGCTAGGGACTGTACTACAAGAGCTGCTTCTTTGTCCTATAGGATTTCTATAAGTTGGAGTCTATATGATGGCAGCGGGTTTAAGACTGACTACGTCTCTCTCCACTCTAATTCAGGACCCTTCCATATGGTGTAAGATCTGAGGGAAACCATGGCTCCCAACTCTCACTGCACCTTCTTTCCTCTCAGGAATTTCCTGAGGAATGAGTCATGAGCGGTTCAGTCATTTATTGGTTTGGGTAGCTCAATCTAAAGGTGAGGAATCTGCCAGTCCTAGCAGGGGACAAACTGGGGACTCTGGGAATCAGATTTCCCAAACTAGGGTCAGGCAGGTGTCAGGGATTTCTGGGATCTTCAAGAACACAGAGGTAGGACTGGAGGATGTGGAGAGGTACTGTGTCCTAAGCCTGGATATTGCTAGTTTTTCCTTGGGGACAGGTCGGCTGCTTCCTGCCTGGTCAGGTGACAGTCTGATTCCAAGTTGGACTTTGGGCTCAGCTGACTGGGGCTGCTGAGAAGTTAGTTCCCTCAGCTGTTAGAAGACCAGTGTAGAAATGTAGCTGAACTGAGCAGTCATTAATCCAGGGGATTGGATTCATGTGCAAGCTAGCCCTTCCTGAGTGCCTCAGAAGCCTGTTGTCATTTAGACGGAAAACTGGGACTGTGGCTCAGGCAAGTGGTGGAAAGTGAAAATATTCTGGGTAGTGGAGTTGGAAGCAATCAAAGTAGCATAAATAACCCTGCCTTTTCTCATCCCCACCCCCACCTCCATATTAAGGGACCAAATCTGTGGACTGAGTCTTAGAGATTCCTCTCCTTATGGAGTCTTGGGGATTCCGCTTCTTATGGAAAGAAGCTTTCCATAAGGAATGATATGAGCTAACTTCATGGGTGTCATGTGAACCGTGTAGTCATATGGCCCCACATTCAGAAGGGTCCTGAGTTTGCCTGTTTGAAATTCTTAGTTTTTTAATAAGGACTAGGCCTACCTTTTTCATTTTGCACTGAACGCCACAGGTTATGTAGCTAGTTCTGGCCACTGAGATTGTCGAGAGCGTCTGCAGAGGGAACAAGACTGGCTAGCAAGCCTCTCCCTACTCCTCTTTCCAAAAGCCAGAGTATACCTGCCTTACTGCCTCCTTCTCACTCAGGGCACTCAGACCTTATCTAGCAGGCCAAGGTTCTGTGCGTGGCTCTCAGCTTTGCCTACACCCTTTTCTCTTGGACATCGACCAACTTTAGGAGACATGGGATCCGTTGCGGTAGTGCTAGGCCCAGCTGTCAGCACCATGAATACACCATGTGATCCCTGTGCATAGCACAGTGCCTGATTAAAAAATGGCTGCTCTAGAGTGCAGGGTGCATTGGTGGTCAGATGGGAAATTGAAGCCCATCAAGGACAGTGAGCTGTCCTAGGTCCCTCAGGCGGAGGGTTTTAGTGATAAACCGTATTAGCCAGTGGTGAGTCCCTGGGGGCACAGAAGGGGTTAGGAAACCTGGGAATTTCACTCTGAACCCTAATCATCCTTACAATCCATGAGTGCTGTCTGCAGTGTCCATGACGGTTGGAGTCCAAGATCAGGACAAAGTTGTGGGACCAGGTTCAGGTATGGTGATGCAGAGAAATTATAGCTGGTTCACCAGAGCCCAGTTGGGCCCTTAGGCAATCTCTGGTTTGTGGGGCTGGCATCCCTGTACCAGGCAAGACCTGGTTGCTTGCTGCTCTTGGGTAGTCACTGGCCCCTCTTGGCCTCAGTTTCTTTGCTGTACTATGGGTGTAACGCTGCTCTGACTATCCTAAATTTGTGATGGGATCAAATGATATATATAAAAGTGCTTGTCAGCAATAACAGAGCTAGAGGCTGGGAGGAAATGAGCACAGCATTTTCATGGTTCTTAAAAGGCTTTCTTCCGGGAGATCTGGTGGCCTAGTGGCAAAAAGCTGCACTGCAATCCCACAGGCATGTGGTTCGAGTCCACCAGATGCTCTGCTGGAGAAAGAGGGGCAATGTCCTGTACCAGTCAGATCTGATTTGACGGCACACACACACAAAACAATACAAATAAAATTTATTTAAAAAAAAAAGGCTTTCTTCCTAATCCACTTCCTCAGTCACACTTCTCACCTGCTCAGCACCTCAGAATTGAGTTTAGATGAGCCTAAATCAGAGATGAGGGGCTAAGTGGGAATCATGACCCTGGCAGGGGTGTCCTGGGGCCTCACAGCCAACCTAAGGGGAAACTGAGCCTGGATTCTCTGCATTCCAGTCACCAAAGGGTGAAGAGGACACAGAGCCGGCCCAAGCCCCACCTCCACACAGACAATTGTAGGAGCCTGGGGGAAGGTGTTGTAAGAAGTGGAAAAGAGCAAAGAAGGGACTTCCAGTTGCTGGATGGGAGGGGAAAGTCGGTCACAGGTCTTTGGCGAGTCAACAGTCTCAATCTCTGGAGAGAAAACTCCAGTGCTCTCCAAAGTAGCATCATAATTCCCAGGAAAAGAGTTCCGGATTCCCCTATTACTTCCCAAACTCAGGTCCAACCCCTCGCACTGCTCTTCCTCGTGCCCCCTCCCAGGCTTTCCTACTAGACCGAACCCTCTACAACACACTCCTCCGGATGGACCCTCGTTACTGCCCCTTCCTGGGCCGGCCCCGCCCTCTC